CTTGCAGCACTACTGAGAAGTACCCCTTGCGGTTTATGTACTGGTTGGAAAGGTGGTCCGGTGCCAAGATAGGGATATGCGTTCCGTCTATCACCCCACCACAGTTAGGGAACCCCATTGCAGCAAAGCCATCCACTATGACCTGCACATTTCCCAGAGTCACTACCCTTGATAACAGAATGACAATGATTGCATTGGCTACTTGGATCACAGCAGCCCCCACAGTAGACTTGCCCACTCCAAATTGATTCCCGACTGACTGGTAGCAGTCAGGCATTGCAAGCTTCCACAGGGCTATCACCACTCGCTTCTCAACGGTCACGGCAGCTCTCATCTTGGTATTCCTGCGCTTCAGGTTGGGGGAAAGCAACTCACAGAGTTCCAGGAAAGTGGCCTTATGCATGAGAAAGTTTCGCAGCCACTGTGAATCATCCCATACCTGCAGCACTGTGCAGTCCCACCAGTCTGTGCTTGTTTGCCTGGCCCAGAATCGGTGTTCCACTGTATCGACCAGCCCGACTGCCGCCATGATGTCCCCATGCTTTCAGGAACGTCTGTGTCCATGTCCTCATCAAAATCCTCCTTGTGCTGGCATCTCTTAGCCCGGTTCTCCAGGATAATGCGCAAGGTGTTTACAATGCTCACAACAGCAGTGGTGACTGTGAGCTGAGCGGGCTCCATGCTTGCCGTGGTATGGCGTCTGCAGGACAGCAGGAGAACAGAGTTGCAGCGGAAGCGGTGGATGACAATGGTTAGCAGTCCTACTGCACGATCTGCTGACAGAAGCACCCAGGAGGACCAGAACGGATCCCCCAAGCTCATCCCTGGAGAGCAGAGTTGCAGTGGAAACAGTAGATGATGATGGTTAGCACCGCGCACATTTCAGACAACATGGAGAAATTTGCTATTCAGACTGAGTTCATTTACAAAAGCAGGAGAGCAAAGGTGCAGCGGAAGTGGTGGATGATGACGGTTAGCAGTCCTACTGCACCGTCTGCTGACAGCAGCACCCAGGACACAGCAGCAGTGATGGTGAGCTGAGCTGAGCGGGCTCCATGCTTGCCATGGTATGGCGTCTGCACGGAAAAAAGGCGCAAAACGATTGTCTGACGTTGCTTTCACGAAGGGAGGGGTGACTGACGACATGTACCCAAAACCACCCGCAACAATGTTTTTGCCCCATCAGGCATTGGGAGCTTAACCTAGAATTCCAATGGGCAGTGGAGACTGTGGGAACTGTGGGATACTACCCACAGTGCACCACTCCATAAGTCGATGCTAGCCAGTGTAATGAGGACGCACTCCACTGACTTAATGCGCTTAGTGTGGACCTACGCAATCGACAGTATAAAATCGATTTCTAAAAATCGACTTCTATAAAATCTACCTAATTTCGTAGTGTAGACATACCCTCTGTTATGAACTTCTCTTTTAGGCCTCATCTACCCACAATACGGGTATAGTTAAAGTTGTATAACCCTCCTAATGTGGATGTAGGTATAGTGTTATGAAGATAAAGGAGAATAATGATACCCGTGTAAATTACTGTTATACCTGTATAAGTGTGTCCACACTATGGCTTCTACTGGTATAAGTATATTGTAAAAAATCACACCCCTACTGACATAGTTCCACTGGTAAAACTTTTAAGTATAGAATATGCCCTAGGCCTTCCTCTTCTGATCAGGTGCTGAGATAGACTGTATATCTTACCATTAGCGGAGAATTCTGATAAAACTTTGACTGGGGTAACTCCAACTCATCGTAGGATTATTTTTAATCCACTGGTATGATGTTTTTCCTTTGTGAAAACCAGGCAAGATTAAATACTTATGACTCAAAGTTACAACATCTGGATGATATCATTCTTTCTCTTCCCCACCCCTCCCCTCCCGCTAAGAAGCAGTTGCAAATTTGCAGTACAAAATAAGGTCCCAATACTCAGAGATTTTTCCAACTGGTTTGGAAAAGGGGTGGAGTGGGGAGGGAACTGGAAAAAAATCATCCAAAAATGTACGTTTTTCCAACAGCTCTATTTATTAGCACAGACCTTCTACCTTCTAGGCCCCATACGCACCCTCAGCTTGGCTGTAGTTGCTGTGCTCCTGCCAACCCACCTCAGTGCACCTCATACTCATAAGGACACAATTTTCCCCTTAGACTTGTGTTCAATTAAGCTAATTTTTATAGTTAACGCCCTCTCCCCCTTTATATGCAGCTATTCTTTGACTATTGGGTCACTGAGTTAAACTTGTATCAGGTTTGATACTGCAGCCCTCATCATGCAAAATGCTCATCTAAATCAGTGGGAGTTCTGAGGATATAACATACAAGGATTGTAGCATGAGATTTGTCATCTGTATTCTATAGTATGTCCTTTTTTCTTTGCTCCTCTGTAAGAGCCAGATAAATGTGTGCTGCTCTCACTGATTTAAAGGGAAGAATTTGGCATTAAAGAGAAGACTCTGACTCTCTCTCTCTCTGTAATCTTTGCTTTTTTTTGGTTTGTTTATATCTGTTCTTTTTTAGTCACTTTTGTATGATGCTATTACAGAAGTTATTATTAATATATTAATTAATAAGGCTGGAACCCCAGTCCAATAAGGTACTGATGTCCCTACACTTCCACTGGAATCAATAGGAATTGAGAAGTGAGTGTACAATACACTGCGGGATCAGCTGAAACAACTATAGTTTAAAACAGTGGTTCTCGAGCAGGTTTCAGGGGGGCCACTAAGCAGGGCCAGCATTAGCCTTGCTGTGGCCCAGGGCAGAAAGCTGAAGGCCCACCACAGGGCTGAAGCTGAAGCCTGAGCAATGTAGCTTCATGGGGGCCCCTGTCGCATGTGGCCCCAGGCAACTGCCCTGCTTGCTACCCCCTGGCTTTTATATGCAGAAAACCAGTTATTGTGGCGCAGGTGGGCCGAGGAATTATTATAGCATGTTGCGGGGGCCTCAGAAAGAAAAAGGTTGAGAACCTCAGGTTTACAAGACTGCTGACGTGCCTTTAATTTAGAGCAGGGATCGGCAACCTTTGGCACATGGCCCATCAGGGAAATCCGCTGGCGGCCGGGACGGTTTGTTTACCTGCAGTGTCCACAGGTTCAGCCAATCGCAGCTCCCACTGGCCGCGGTTCACCATTCCAGGCCAATGGGGGGCTGCGGGAAGTGGTGTCCAGCACATCTCTTGGCCCGCGCCGCTTCCCGCAGCCCCCATTGGCCTAGAACAGCGAACCGCAGCCAGGAGGAGCTGTGATTGGCCGAACCTGCGGATGCTGCAGGTAAACAAACCATCCTGGCCCGCCAGCAGATTTCCCTAACGGACCGTGTGCCAAAGGTTGCCGATCCCTGATTTAAAGGCTTGTGATATTGCAACGTGATGTAGTTTAACACCCAAAATTACAAACGCTGCAAAAGTTTGACAGCAGGCTTCATGGCACAAGCATTCCTTTTCACAGAACCATTAGAAAAGGTAGGAAACCTAAGTATATGGTACCAAACCTGCCAAATGAGGTACAATTAGAGGTGGCCACGACCTGCAGCGGATTTGCTTTGCACAAAGCTTAAGTTAGTATAGATCCCCAAAGGATTTCTTTTGAATTTGGGGTTTGATGTATCCAACAACTCAAAGTAAAACCATCAACTATCATTTAGTTTCTCATTAAAATCATGTGAAATCACGATGCATAGCCATAAATCTGGTTGGGATTGTTCACTATTAAGTCTTAGTAAATCTCTCAATGATCCTGTTCTTGATATTAAATTTCTAGTGAAACCCAAATCTAGGTGAGTTTTGCATGACTTTGAGTTTCATAACACAAGTTTTGCATTCATCAGTTGTTTCTCCAATGTGTTGTACATTACTTATAGTTTTTGCTTGTGTGAAATTACCACTACACAACTGATTGCAAAACACATTCAAAACTCTGCAAAAGAACCAAGCCTATCAGACAAATGGTAAATCTACATGGTGAACATGGATAGACTGGTTGACCTGCATTCCTAGCTCCAGCAAGCTTCTGGCTAAACTCATGCCTTTCCTTTAAGAATTTAATATCCGACTTAGTGTCCTTGTGATATTACCATTCCCCCCCCAGCAGTAACAATTCAACAGTTCAGCAGAGCAGAAAGCAGTCTAATCACCATGTTTGATCTCTCCAATTGTTCTGCAAACTAACTTACAGGCTGAACAAACAAGGTCATCAATGAATAACCAAAAAACAGTAACCACCCCTCTACCAACATGCATCTTTGCACACACAGGATTCACTGCTAGTTTCAGTTGTTTCAACGCACCGGTGACTCAGCATCCAGTCTTTTTAGCGCAGTGTTGTGTCCCATTGTCTATATCAGCACCTCTGACCTAACTCATGAAACACAACAGACCCTAATTTAAGTGGTTGAGAAAGGGAGAGTGAAAGCTGAGTTGGTGGAAATTTTTTCAACAGAGCAGTTTTCAGGCAGGAAACATTTAATGGGAATGTATCAATTTAGTGAAAAAGTATTTGAAAATTTCATTTTGATAAGGTTGAAGCGCTTCCTTTCAACTTCAATATGATTGGTTCAATAGTTCCAATTTTTATATATAAATATGGAAATGACCTTTTTGAAGGGCTACATATCAAAAAGGTCATTTCCATATTTCCAAAACTATTTTCCCCCAGAAATTTTGTTTTGTAGGAAATTTTGACTTTTTGCTCCAAATCGGGATGAAAGGGAAATTTCGGAACGTCAGGATTCTTCGCGGAAACTTCTGAGTGTCCCGCGGCTGTAGTTAAGAGCATGGGACTCAGTCAGTTTGCATGTTACCGTGTTGGGTCTGGAAGGGGGAATCTGGAGAGCCACCCTGTGGTTTCTTTACATTGGGCCAGGAAGCAGTAGAACAAAAGGAGAAGCCGATCCGCGCTTCCCACACTTCTCCTGCTCCTCGTGGCGTCTTGGACAAACCCTTAAGGGTGTTTTTTTTTTTTGTCTTGCGCTCTCTCTCTCTCACTCACTGTCTGCGAAGCGGATGCTGCTTTCCAGTCTGCTCTCTCCACCCCCTACCCCAAGTCCTGGCAGGGCGCCAAGTGCAGGCGCAGCGCGTTGTGCATCTCAACTACTCCCCTCTGGTGACTGCACCTTCCTATGCGCGCAGCAGCAGCAGGGGGAGAGGGGAGGAAGAGAGGGTGCTATCATCACAGCCCACCGCCACATAAATCCAAGGGGGAGAGAAAAATGGCAGCAAGATGCAATAGCTGCCATAGCCCAGGCGGCCTGTGACCGCCATGCAAGCGGCTCCGGTGGACCGACTGGCGCTCTGTTCCTGCTGCCTCCCACCCACCCGCAGCCCCTCTTCCTCCGCACGTACAGAGCGGCTCCCCGGCTTGCGAGCGCACGCGGTGAGTGGAGCGAGGGGGTGGGTGTCTCTGCTCATGTCTGTGTAGCTGGCACATTCCTGCAGAGCCTCCCTGCGCGGCTGTGTGGGGGGACAGGCTCCGCGTGGCTGCGAATGGCGGGGGAGCTGAGCTCCCCTCCACCCGGGCAGTGCTCAGAGAGAGGGGACCCCCGCCCCACCACCGCTTCGCCCAAAGGCAGCAGAAGCAAGGCAGAGGGGGGCCATGCCTGGACGGGGATAGCTCTGGCTTTATAGGCGCTGCTGGTAGGTTATTTTGTCCTGTGTGTGACTTGTAGCTATTCTGAGGGGTGAAGTAAAGGGTAGAGAGTTTAAATGGGAATTGCCTGAATGGGCCAGCAGCGGGGTGAGTGATGCCCATTTAGGGGTATTAAAAGCAAACGCTGCTGCATAACTTATTTTAGCTTTATCCCTGCACATGCAGGTCTCATCAACAACATGCACCTTTGAGTGACAACAGCGTCCAGCCCCACCCTAAGCCCAGCAGCTACAGTGGTCCTGTGATTTCTCTTGGTAGGGTTATCCCGAGTTCCTGTAAATTTCTGATCGGTAACAGGTTCATATGAGGATATAGACACGAGGCGCTAGGCTAGGGGGAACCTTGATAACATGAAATAAAACGATCTGGTTTGAACAAGGAAATGTTTTGGTGCCGTCAACAATGGTCTCTAGGGAGATGTGTTTGATTTTCCAAACCCCAGAGACCCACTGAAGGCAAATACATAAATTGCACCTGTATGTATCCTTTCTCAAGGGATGACTTGTTAAATACTTGGAAATCACCTATTTGTAGCACAGTTAGCAGGACTTTAGACAACGGGTTTGTTGTTCATTGAGATAGATTTGGGTATTGGGGAAAAAGTAGTTTTGATCTTTTTTTCTTTTCTTTCTGAATCATGTATTTCTCCAGAAAATCAGAAGAAGAAAACACCTTTTTTTCCAAGTGGAAACTGCATTTTAGCTGAAATGTAGTGGGAATTCCTAGTCTATTCCAAACTGTGCTTAGAAACTAATACATAGTCCAGTGGTTTAATGATGGTGGTGGTATCTCTAATGTGTTTATTGACAATGTTTAAGTTTTTGAAATAAACTATGCAATAGAAAATAAAGCAATAGCATTGTGAAACCCTTATAACTTAGCCATTTAATATACATTTTAATCTATTTTAACATTCCCATTTTGGTGGCTTTTTAATAGTATGTATACTAAGTAAGGAGTTTTAAATTAGAGAGATTTATAAAACCTTTATACATTAACTAACATTGTCTTAGAGATATTCAGCAAGATTTCTGGTTAATATTTCTGTTATTTATAGTAAAACATAGTTTTAGCAGTTGCTTACCCAATACGTTTCTGTGAATGCTAGGTTGGTATTTAGCCCTCATATTTGCTTGCCAACATGATGTTTTAACATATCATATGAATATAGAATTCATGTATTTGCGGTCACCTTTCACATCAGAGATACATATCTAAAATATAACTGAGGCTGATACACAAAAACATAGTAGTTTTGTCCCATAACATTCTTCTTCTAACTGGATTTGACTATAAAATTCTCTTCAGTGGGTCAACTCCTGTAATCTGTATCCACATGAGTGAGATCTATATGCATGAGCAGGAATTCACAGGATGGGGTTGTATATTTCCATTTTTGTGTGTGCAGTTATTGATAATTTTGACAAGTTATAACAAATCTGATAATTTTATGAAGGTTGAGTGATTTAATAATCTTCAAGACCACATTAATTTGGGGAATGTCTGTGTTTTAATATTGTGAAATCACCAATAGCAGACAGCCTTGGAAAGGGCAAAAAGTGCATCAAGGAAATGATTTAGCCTTTATAGTGTTCATAATTTCCAGCCAGCATGCTTTTAAGCATTTCATTTTAAATTACAGGAAACAATCAGTGATTACATTTACTGACACAATGTTTAATAGACTATTACAGATTGTATCTTTTGTTTAAGAGTAAAGTGTTGATCTTCATTTAGGACAAATGGTGAGAGAGAAGATGAAAGGTAAGAAGCCTTTTATCCATTGAGAGAGGGAAGGGGAATGTCAGTTGATTGATTAGCCATTTTTCTTGAAATTGGAATTAATTGAGTAGTGCAATATAAATTAGCTATCATAGTCAATACGTGTGGATTTTCAGGATATAGTGGGATTAGTGTATTATTATAAAGGTATACTATAGCCACCAAGTTCATGGAAGGGCAGTGCTGTCTAGTAAGAGTGCTCCTTTTTCATTACTACATCTCTTAGGTAAAGAACAGCATAACTGAAATTTAATTCCAGAAATAAACTGAACAATACACATTATTTTATAGTTTCCCATAGTAATCTATTAATATTTTACTTATTATGAAACATGGATTGATTGGGGTGTGATGTTTGTACCACTTACTGCTGAATGGATAACTTGATGCTTAGTCTTCCGTTCTCTCATTAATAATCTAATTATAGGAAGAGGCTGGAAAGAATATTGAATGAAGAGTTGTTCCCAGTGGACTTGCAGAGGAAGTCACTTTAAAGTAGAACAATATTTTAACAATTCTGGCCATAACTTCTTATTCACAATCGGCCAGATTTTCAAAACAGCTCTGCTCCCATTTTAGCACCAAAATAAATAGCCAGATTTTCAAAAGAATTCCTCATATTAGGTTCCCAGCTCTTTCTCCCTCTCTTTTTTTATTTTTAAACATGGCCGTAAGTGCCACAGTCCGAGCTCCTCAGTGTAGCACAGAATTTGGCTCCAATTTGTGGGTGCTTTGCTCTTGAAAAACTGCCCCTAAACTTTTTTGAAAATCTGATCCCACAGTTGTAATCAATTTCCCCCCTTTACTAATATGTATTCTGGAGGAGACTCTTTTAACAGGAGGTAGAATTGTAGGAGTGAAATATAGCAGCTGTAAAGAAAGCCAGAAAAAGTATTTAAATTTTTTATGTGGAAAGCCAGCAGATTTAATGTTCTATAGCTATACGATAAACGCTTATGAAAAAATATTAGAATTGTAATAGAAAATGTAAGAAGCGCTTAATCACTGAACCAAAATAATAGATAATGAGAAAAAATAGCCTTTTCCTGCTTTAACTATATATTTGAGGGAATGCTGTAAAGGATAATAATTGGGGGGAAAAAATAGATTGATCCAGATCCTGAAACAATGCCAATTTAGACCAACAAAGGTTCTGGCCTAGTTTGAGTTTTCTTCGCTTTAGAGCAGTGGTTTTCAACCTTTTTTCATTTGGGGACTCCTAAAAGTTTCAAATGGAGGTGCGAATCCCTTTGGAAATCTTAGATATAGTCTGTGGACCCCCAGGGGTCTGCGGACCCCAAGTTGAAAACCACTGCTTTAGAGCATCAGTTTTCCTAGTTAATAAACTAGCAAAACAAAAAAAGGTGTGGCACCTCTGAAGAACAAAACTGAGTATTTTCAGTACATAATTGGAAAACTTTAGAAATTACGGAACAGATTCTGATCTCACTTATCCCCCTGTAAATCACAGTGAGGTCTACTGTGAAATTACTCTACATTTATAGTAAGGTAAGTGAGTTCAGAACCCAGCCCTTCGTGTGGAGAACTAGCATAGTTACATTAGAAGTAAAGCCACTGGGTCCTATTTTGATCTCATTGAAACCAGTTTTAAACTGATTTAACACCATTATTATCTTCAGACCAGTTTCTTCTGGTTTACACCCATGTAAGTAAGATCAGGAATTATTTCAAAAGTTCTGGTCACAATCACTTGATCAATTGTACTCTCTTTATTTTTAAGGTTGTATTAATGTTTGCTGAATGACGAGAAATGGTAATTATCTGCCTAGGTCTGTGGTCCAGTAATTAATCAGAACTCACTGACACTATGCACAAAGAGCAGAAATGAAAATTGCTTACTGCATGTCTGGAAGTATGTCCTCTGTGGGGTGTTTGCTTTTTCTACGACTTGTTTGTGGCATGAAGATTAATTAGCTAATTCTCTTTGAAGATGAAAAATATAATATTAGGGTAACTATAATTCAGAATTGTTATTAGTTTTTATTAAGGGAAACTGGTTGTGTGTTCACTAGTTTGAAGATCAGAATTTAACATTCAGGCTACAGATGATTGTTAAAGGATGTTTAAATTGTGTATTGAAGTGTGTGCAGAATGGCCGGTTGATGTCCTCCACAGAATCAGACCATTAATAAGGACCAGCTTGTTTCTAAACCATCTGGTGCTTTTGGAATTTGTGTGTGTTGCATGGGGGTAGAATGGAATTGAAAGGGGGAATTGTGGTGTAAGGTAAGGTTCTGTCATTGTTCCTTTAGATCACCGTGCAAATATATTTGCATTTAGAGTTTCCAGGCAAGCCAAAATGTAGGACTAGTACTGAATGCTAAATGAAATCTGACAGCTAAATCAGAACATGCCACATAATGATCTTGGGATTTCCTTACTAGAATAATCTTTCTGAAAAATTTTGCTCGGAATAAATATAGTCCTGGTTAAAAGCTAGTTCAAAACAATGGCAGGTGGAAAAAATGAGGCTGGAATTTTATTCTGTTTAAAATCTTTCTCCTCTTCAAAGGTGTTTACACCTTTGTTACCTTTCCTGTCTGAAAAACGGGGGTAATGATACTAACCTCTGTGGCAAAGCACTTTGAGATCTACTGATGAAAAGCAACATATACGTGCTGTATGTATGTATGTATGTATTTCCTTGTGATGGCTGGAAGATTCACACAGGTTGTAGAAATGAAGACCCATCTTTGCTCATCAGTCAGTCATATAGTGCAGGCAGCCACAATGCACTCCTTTGTGTTGATCAGGCTGAAACTCAATCTGCCTGAGAGACTGAAGGATGATTTGAAGCTTATTTTGATTAGTGAGAGATACATCACTACATAAAATCTCTTACTCTGTATGCATGCACAAATGAAGCAGCAAATTTTTATGGGAAACTTGGTGGTGTATCTCCTAGATAAGAATAATGTTTCTTT